CACCTATCTGGAAAACCCAGGTAGAAAGCAAGGGGGGCTGACAAGATCCGCGTGCCTCAACAGGCTGTGTGTAACATAGGGCACTGGCAATAGTGCCTTGGCAGTGGTTCTCTGCAAAAGATCAGGTGGCTAGAAGGCAGGACCTGCACACAGAAGAAGCTTACCGTGTGTGAGTCACTATATCTGTCAAAGCACCACCTTCCAGAAACTCCATCACAACCCACAGCTCATCTCCCACCAGGTAACTGTTGTACATGTCGACCACATTTTCATGGTGATAGTCTCTCATGATAACAACCTAGAAGAAGAGCAAAAGCCACCAATGCATCACTGTAGAGGGACTTCTTTCCTTTCCTCCTAATTTATGCCAAATGAGAGAGAATGTTCAATCCTGTCATTCATATTTGGATGCTAATTCTCAGTAGAATAATACTGAACTCAAACTGGCTAGAAATGAGACTCTTGAGTGGAAATGAGCTTAGGGAGACGTGTTGCTGGGTCCTTCCCTTCCTCTATAAATAGAAGTCAATATCAATCTGGTAAAAACAAGGTGTAGGGGTTCCCCTACCTGTCAGGTTGTGTAAAACTGGAATTTAGGACAGGCATGATCACTCATGCAGGAAAAGGAAAACTGGGGAAGCAGCCTGGTCAACAGCTATGGATGATAATGGGACCTTTACATCTGTTGGCCAAATGAGCAGGAATAACTTGCTGCACCTGATCCTCTTGTGTTTGAACAAGTGGGCTTTGGGAAGAAGGTTGGCCTATATTAGTGTTTGGCAATGCACAGCACTGTTCTGCTGAACAAGCTGATCTTATCTCAGCACACACTACAACCATGACAATCCTGTGTTGTGATGCCAACAACGATCTTCTGTTAGTCCTGCAACACAGGCACGCTTTGGAAGAGATGTTCAGAGGAAGGATGCTGCTCAGGGCCCAGCAAACAATTCACTTGCAAAGGGTCCTACTGGGGCACAGATGTCCTTCAGGTAGGTCTGAAACCCTGGAGAGTTCAGTACAGCAGTTCACTAATGATGGTTCCATCTGCGTGGGCACCTCTCCAAGAGAAAGAACTGAAGGTTTCCATGGGGGAAAATGGCACAACTGTAGCTAGTTTTCAGCTCTGAAAATGGCAGCTACAACCGAAGTCAGATCTATGGGTAGGAGGCATCAGGGCTGGGCAGATCTTTGAGGGAGTGTTTTGGGTCATCAAACAGCTGATGCCAACTAAAATTTGCATCCCAAATTCCAGGATTTTTTTTTTTTTTTTTAGTTTAATGTAAATCATGGTTAGTTGTAATTTCATTTGTCCAGTTTGGATATCATGCAAACTGTTGCTACTTTAAACCAGAAATAGGAAGAGAACATGGGCGCGCTTCAGGAGAGAACAAAGGAGGATGTACTTCATAGTTAGAACTAGGAAAATTATGTTCATTAGGAACATTCCAAGCTCCAAATAGCCATTTCAAGTGTTCCAAGAATTTTGTCCTGATCTCAGAAAAAAATACAAAAAAACAAAGTCTTTTCAAGCAATGCTGCTTTTCAAGTCACATAAACGGTATGTTGCTTTCTGGATTGTGACTAGCGTGGCTTCTTTTCAAATTCTTCCCGCAATAGCAATTTTTTAAAACACATGTTTTTCTGCTGCCTTTGTTTGTTGAATGCTGCTGTCTGAGAAATTGCCAAATGCAGAATTGCACGTATGCATTAGGAAGAAAAAAAGTCACAACCTTGTAACCACATTAATGCTGTTGAATGTTGACGGGTTCTGTTGATATGACCACATAACACTTCCTCTCTGTCTGTTCAGAAGGCTCCAGATCTGATGCTATTGTTGAGTTATTGAATGGGTATGAATGGTACAGACAACTGCTTTCGGTAGGTAAGCTCTTTATACAATTTGCAGCTGTATCTATATCTGAATCTTTATCAGTTTTGAAAAGCTGAGCCTAAATATGTAAAGTAAGAAATCACAGCAGTATGTTCCAGCTGGCCAGACCAGGGCATGTTATTGCCTTCTATATATGTGATCATCCTTTCCTTCCAACCCCAGCATATAATGCGTTTGCTGTGATATTGTGTGAAGCTAAAGAATCCTGGATAGTACTAATTAGAGTTCATGTTTATTCTTCTGTGCTCAGCCAATAGGAAAAACAAAAACAAAACAGAGTAATTATTATGCTAGAAATCTTAAACATTCAGATGCCCGCTAAAACCAGGGTGGGAAATTAAGCTCTATCCCTATCTGAGCTGAAACTGATACTTCAACTTACTTGACTTATTTCACTAATATAAATCAATGTCATCGGTATGATTAATCCTTCTCTACTTAATAAGATCCCATTCTGTCACACGGAGAATTACACTTCCATGGCAAGTGCCTGGCTTTTCGTTTTAAACTATATTCCTGAAGGTATCAAGTTTACATTTTGGTCTAGTTACTAGAACGAATGGATGGAGTCTGCTCTGAGGGTGTGGGCCAATTCAAAACAAGATAAAGACATAACTTTATTTATGCATTTAATGGATCTTGAGTTAAAGTGAGAATATGCCCGTCTTCTGGGATATTTTAAAATCTCAATTTTTATCACTGCTTTTCAAAGCAATTAATATGATTCTCCCCATTCCTATTTTATTCCCACTGTCAGGGTTCACCCAAACCAAAAACCTTTTGTTACCAGAATCAAAAGCAAGCTTCTGACCCACTGTTCGTCATGTAGGAAATTGACTGGATTGTCTGCTGAATTGTAGTTTAATGCTAATCATGGGACAATGTCGTGAATTGAATCTGAAAGCAGTTGGCTGGGTTAAGGGAGCTAACTTTAAAAAGTTCATTTTTTCCAGCTTCCCACACCTGCCACCAACAGTTCATTTCCCCACTAGCAACTTACAGCATCTTCTTAAGCCACCCAATCATTGTGCTGAAGTAACAGTAACGAGGACAGCTTTTGTACCCCATCAGCGATGGCTGGGTGATGCTACAAAGATGCTATATGTCATTGGTGGGGAAAGGGCCCAAGGCTCTGCCTTATGGAAGGGCTGGCCCTGTTCCCCAAAACTCTGCACGGAAAGTGAGGTTGAGAGATAGTGACTGACCAGGGAACTTTGCACCTGAGTGAAAAAAAGTGAGCCCAGGTTTCCTGGTTTATACTTAACAGTCTAACCAGTATATAGCATTAACACCTCTCCATTGAGAGCCCTCAGATTAAGACATGTGGAAAGAAATCAAGGGCATGAAAGAACCTTCTTATGGTTCCAAAAGGACCTACCTCATTGAAGAGCAATTCCCTTCTCTGCTGTTTCCTGAGATCCATCTTTTTCACAGCCACTTGCCTCCCAGTATGCTTCTCTGTGGCGATGCAAACAATACCAGTGGAGCCTTCCCCAATTTTGATAAAGTTGTCCAAGTATTCTCGAGGATCCCCAGGGCTCACCACCAGTTGCAAAGCTGCTCGGAACTGCTCGTGTGATACTCTTGACGGTTGCTGATCTGAGGATGATCCCCAACTTGGTGGAGGATAAGTACTTGAAGTGATGCTGGGGGAGCTTGGGTAAGAAGCTGTGGAAGTATAATGTGAGCTCGGCTGCAGAGAAGGCTGGTGGTTAAAGTGAGAGAATTTGTGATAGATGGCTGAGTACTGATAGCCACTGCCTGAATAAGTGGCTTTGCACTGACTCTGAGGTAGCTTTGTTGGGCCTCGCGGATAAGTGTCTGATCCAGAGAGGGGTGGACTTACTACCATCTGTGCTCGATCATAATCCAGCTGTGGAAAGAGGCACATCAAAAAGTTAACTTTGTTTTTGGTACAATCATGTGTTCCTGAGCTAAGGAGGGGATGCAAATATTTGCTCTTCTAATTTTTCTCTTAAATTGTGTCACCATCGTTGATAAGGGACATCAGACTGCCTAGTAGTTGCCTAGATCCCTCTAGAATGACGTGCTGGTGCTAAAGGTATCTTGTTCAATTAGCACAATGTTGCCCCTTTACAGAAAGGCTTTCTTGCTGTCTTCTCAAGCAGGGCAGAAGACATGGCTCAAGGGTTAGGAGACATGCAACTGACCCCAACAGAACTGGCTTTCAAAGCAGGAATCCAAATCTTCTGATTGCCAAATCTAGGCAGCCTGCAAGCAATTGTCTTTTAGGTGTCATGGCCCACCAATATAACAAATGGTTTGCTTGAAGAAGATTCCAGGCCCTAAACCTAGGCTTTCTAATAAATGATATATTGTTTAATAGGGCAGAGGAAAATCCCTTGCCTCAATCTTTGGAGAGCTGCTGATAGAGCAGACAGCTCTTGTTCTGATTTTCAACAGAGCTGATTCATGTGGAAGTCCTGCCTGGTTTCTTTTCCAAGATGCATAACCTCAGACTCCAGTCAAGTCAAGGAGGTTTTCCAACTAGAGCAGAAAAAGTCTGCTCCTGAGCTGAGAAAGTACAAGGTATTTGAGGGCACACTCAAAGAAGGGAGCAGGAGGCAGAATTAAGTAAGTAAGGAGCCAGGATCAAAAGTGGACAAGGTCAGGGCAAAAATCTTTTTTTAGTTTGAATGTAATGACATTGTCATGAAATGCTTAGATTTCATTATATCAAATACATTCTTAGCTTTAAAACAGCCTGTGGCCCCTCATCTCCATTTCTGCTTGCTGATGAAGCCCTTTAAGATCATGTTTCCAAAGTCTAGCAGCAAAATTCAGATTTGGTGTAGCCTGATTTTTCTTTTTATTTCCCCCTCTCCGAAGATGCTACTGACAATAGGTGTCCTTAGCCTCTATGTCCTGCTACACTATGATGCTCCTCCCCAGAGGCTATACATAGCAACACACACACACACACACACACACACCCCATTGCCCACCACTTCTTCAAATGTGGAAAATGCTTCAAAGCATGCTTCTGAATTTGGGCACTAAATTGCATCACTGGGTTTCAGCAGCCTGGGAGGATGTGCTCCGGAAGCCTCATGACCTTGACATGGGGATAACACAGGATGCCCAATGTTCTCTTCCACAGATAGTTTTTAGAATGCAGGTCCCACCTAGTTGCAAGGGAACCTGCAGAGATGAAGGTCCAGTGTCTGTCAAATGGACTTGACTGGAAGAGCTTCCTTGGATTTGGGTTCCCTTTTCTGTAGGTACAATGTTACAAACATTGTCATATACCAGCCTGGGCAACCCAATCCATGGGCCACAGGTGGTTCTCCTCCTTCATTTATTTATATGTAAATACACACACACACACATGGGTGCACACACAAATTTGTGCACCACTTATTTCACAGGCCTCAAGGCAGTTTACAATATTACAGAAAACAATACAGAAATACCCATGAAATAAAATATGAATAGTATCCCAAATTAACAGCCAGTGTTAAGTCAGTCCTGTCATCATTAGTATCCATACACCCTCTGAAATACTGCAAGACATTAAGTGCCTTTGTAAAGGCCAGGCAGTTAGGGGCACCATATACTTCCAAAGGCAAGGTTTTCCAAAGGGTGAAGATGGTCCCAAAGAAGCATCATCATCAGGCTGATGGACAAAGCTGGACAGGTCAAGATCTGCTGGAAGACATGATCCTAGAAATACCTGGAAACCAAGCCTGAATCTAGGGCTTTATAGGTGATAAATAGCATTTTGAATTGAAACTGGAAGCAAACTGCTAGCCAGGCCAGTGACCACAACTTTGGGGTAACACTACTAAACCATCTACCACTGGTTAACAGGTAGGACAGGTTGGAACACTGGTAACTTCAGAGTCAGACTGGTTGCAGTAGTCTTTCTGTAAAGTGATGAGGGCATGGGCTATGATCACCAGGGCCTCCTGGTCCAAAAAGGTCCACAATTAGTGTACAAACCAAAGCTAGACAAAGGCCTTGGGGCATGGCCAATATCTGCTACTATAACAGGAGCATACTACTGTCCCAGGGATAGCTGGTTATATAGCTACAAATCAGAACTATTTTCTTTTCTTCTTCACTGTTAGAGGGTAACTTTGGGCCAATGACTCTCCCTCAGCCCAACCCACCACACAAGGTTGTTGTGAAGAAAAGAGGAAGGGGGAGCATTATATATGCTGCCTTCAGTTGTGCAAAAATAAAGGCAGGCAATAATACAAATATTAATACTAACATTAATACAGGTAGTCCTTGGGTCACAACCATTTGTTCAGTGACTGTTCAAAGTTACAAAGGCACTGAACAAGTGGTACTTACGACCGGTCCTCTGAGTTCTGGCCATTGCAGTGTCCCTACGGTCATGTGATTGCAATCTGGGTGCTTGGCGCATGGCTTGCTATTATGTTGCAGTGAGCTGTGGTCACGTGATTGTGATTTCCGATGATCCCTGCCAGCTTCCCACAACCAAAGTCCATGGGGAAGCCAGCAGGAAGTCGTACGTCACAGTCATGAGGTCCTTGCTTAACAATGGCAACCGGGACTGTCATAATTGCTGTTGCTAAGCAACACACTCATGTGATGTCACACTTTACAACTGCATCACAGTGATGGAAATTTGGTCCCAATTACCGTTGTTAATCGAGGACTACCTGTAGTAGTAGTAGTAGTAGTAGTAGTAGTAGTAGTAATAATAATAATAATAATAATAATAATAATAATACTGTAATAAGCAGAAACTTTCAAACATATTTTGTATGCTTTAGAGGGCTCAGAGATATCTGGCTGGCCACTTTTAGCAAGCAAATGCTAGATTAGAAAAGAATAGTCTGATCCAGCTGGGCTGCTCTTACAGCTGTCACGGTTGAAGCAGAGCAGCAGTTGCCATGGCTGAGGCAGCCTGAGGACAAATTAAGACAAGGCTTTATGCAATGTGTATCTCTAATATATACCATGCTTTCTTCCATGTGAGAGGTCACATGGATGTCAGTTTCTTGCTAAGGGGACAGGAGAGATGATTTTGGGTTACCTCTCTTGATAGACTGTGGTCTGAGGTAATCAAAACAGTTTGATGGTGGTGGTGGTTGTCCTTCCAAGTGTTTGTCCACTTGTTTTTGCACCATGGTTACCTAGGTCTTACAGCAAAGCTATCCATTGTTTATCAGCCGGCTTATCTCAGAGCCTTTAGGCTGGGAGGGAGTGACTTCCCCAAGGTCACCCAGCTGGCTTCTGTGTGTGGGAGGACTAGAATCTGTCTTACCCTGCTTCTAGCCCAGCACCTTAACCACTGCACCACACCGGTTCTCTTAGCCAAATAGTTCAAAGGAAAATCCATCCTTGTCAGGAATAATAACTGCCCTTAACAGTCTAGGATAGAACTTCATTTGTAAGTTCACTTCTAGACCTTGCGTTTCCCTTGAATTTCCATGATCCTTGTTTTAACGTTGGAGGTGGGGATGGGTTTAAGAAGAGTTGTGAAAAAACCTGATAGGATCATGTGGAAAGCATATTGAGCACAAAAGAGACCAAATTACCATGTGTTGTTGCCAGATATTAGTGTACTAATGTGCGTGTGCGGACGCGCATGTGCCTTCCAGTCAATATCAAGTCCCTGCAGTTTTCTTTCTATAGTATACTCGCATGTATAGCTAATTAATCAAGTATTTGATTCACCCTTGCTCATTATTTGCTTAACCATTGGGACTGATGACAAAACCAAAACAACAATGCACTGGGATCTGGCTTCAGTAGCATTCAAAGACAATTGGACAAATATATGGAAAGTAGATCTACTAATGGATCTTATTCCTTATGGTGGTAGAAAAACTCAGACTCAGTGGCAGTTGTGTCATTTAATGCTAGATGCTTGCAGACAGCAGCTAGGGTGTAGCATTAGCTAACTGCTATGAAAAGAGCACATGGCTCTTTGCTCTGATGCAGCAAGGCTGTATGTTCTTGACAAGAGGAGCCCGAGGAGACTGAATCTGCAATACTCCACTGAAATCAGTGCGATATAATATGTCCTTTTAATTTGAATATTAAGGGATTATATTGATGAATTTCTTTACTCTGGGAAAGCATGAATTATATTTTTAACAACTCATTTATAGCTTAATAAACTTTACTTAGTTTCACAAATACACTTTCTCATAGACCTATACATTTGTTTATACTGAGTTTGCCTACTGATCCACCTTGTCCACTTTGATTATAACTGATATTTCAGGGTCTAAGCCAGTCCTGCTCCCAGGGACCTTTGAACCAAAGAGTATCAAAGAAGTGGCTTTGACATGGATCCAGGATTCCTCAAGAGCCACTTTTCCTGGAGTTTCACAATATTTTTCAATTTAATTTAGGCCCCTGAAGTGATTGCACTAGAATTGAGAAACAAGTAAAGGGCTTAAAATCTGGTGCAAAGTTGGAAGAGGTCACCCTGAGAAGAAAGGAGGATGGAAACTGGAGCTCTGATTCATAGACCTGTAACTGAAAGAAGTCAAAAGCAGAAGAATTAGGATGTTGGAGATGCTATGGCAGTGTTTCTCAACCTCAGCAGCTTTAAGATGTGTGGATTTCAACTCCCAGAATTCCCCAGCCAGCCATGTTTTGTCACGTTATCACAACCAAGAATTCTTACTGATTCAATGGGTCAACATTACTTATAACTAACTCTGGAATTTATTTCTGTATCCCTGATGACAGTAAGATTGCATATCTGCAGAAAATTTACAATATGGGAATAAGTAGTAGAAGCTCGCCTTCTCCAGTTTTACACAGCAGCATTATTTTAGAAAGATATAAAATAGGATGCTGCCATTTCCTAAATGATCTTCTAAAATGATTATCTAGTTAACTTCAGAGTCCCCAAATTGATTC